TTTGTGTTTAGCTGTAAATATGATGAAAATATTTTTAAAAACACAGTTTTTTTCTAACTTTGACCCCCAAAATCTGTTCCGCATCTACAACCGGCAAAAAACACCTGTGCTAAATAATTTGTAAATTTTGTCCTGAGTTTAGAAATAAACATGTTAAACATGTTTTTTTGAAAAGTTATAGGGCCAGTGGCATACACACAATCCATGGGGTCCCGGTGCGAAACTGATCCATGGGCCACCCCCCGACAGACACACAAACAGACATATACATACAGACACATACATACATACAGAGACATATACATACACACAGACACATACATAGATAGAGACACATACATACACAAAGACACATACATACACACAGACAGACACACACACACACAGACAGAAGACACACATACATGCAGAGACACATACATACAGACAGACAGACAGGCACACATACATACAGACAGACACACATACACATACATACAGACAGACACATACACACATACAGACACACACACACACACACATACAGACACATACACACATACAGACACACATACATACAGACACAGACAGACACACACACACACATAAACACACATACACACAGACACACATACATACAAAGACACATACAGACAGACAGACACATACATACATACATACATACAGACAGGCACTCATACATACAGACAGACACACAGACACATACATACAGACAGGCAGACAGACACACACACACACACGCACATACATACAGAGACACATACACACATGCAGACACACATACATACAGACACATACACACATGTATACATACAGAGACACAGACACATAAAAAAAACAAGAGACATATATACAAAGATACATACAGACAGACACACAGGCACATACATACAGACAGACACACACAGACATACCTACAGAGACACACACACACACATACATACAGACACACACAGACACACACAGACAGACACAGACAGACACCAACAGACACAGACAGACACAAACACAGACACATACACACATACAGAGTCACACACACACAGACACACATACACAGACAGACACACACAGACACATACATACAGACACACACACACAAACAAAAACACACATATACAAAATGTTTAAGTCACTCTCCTGTTTCCTACCTTTTAGGTGCAGGACTGTGACTTTCCCTGGGGTCCAGTGGTGGCTCAGGCTGGAGGGAGTCAGAGTTTACACTCTGACTTGCTCTCCTTCCTCCCACGCAGGCTCTCGCTGATAGCTGGGAGGAGTGACGGGCAGTCACTTCCACCCAGCTTCAATGTCATCACATCGCTGCAGCGTTGATGGGGGCCCCCTGGAAATTCATCTCTATCGGGTGGCCCTAACAGCATGGGCTATCCGATGGGCCCCTTGAACGCGCTGCCTCGTGGGCCAGGGCCACAACACATGAAGGTGGGAACCCAGTCGCAGGGGTCCGCAGTGTGGCTGGGCCCCCTGGAGTGACGGGCCCGGTCGCAGCTGCAACCCCTGCGACCACGGTATGCACGCCACTGTATAGGGCTTTAAGTACAAATAGGACATTGCTGTTTCAAAATATATATTTTTAAGATGTATCAACAGTGACATTATAACACTGTTATGAATCTCTGAATCACACCACACATGTACAATTTTTTTTTAAAGAAGACAACCCAGGGGATTCAATATGGGGTATGTCCAGTCTTTTTTAGTAGCCACTTATTCACAAACGCTGGCCAAAGTGTTTGCCAGTGCTAAATAGTTTCTAAATTTTGTCCTGAGTTTAGAAATACCCAATTTTTTTTTGCAAGTTATAGGGCTATAAGTACAAGTAGCACTTTGCTATTTCCAAACCATTTTTTTTTTCAAAATTAATCCAAGTTACATTGTAATACTGATATCTATCAGGTGTCACTGAATAACCCTTCACATGTATATACATATATTTTTATTTTTTTTAAAAAGAAGACAAACTAAGGTATTAAACTTGGGGTATTTTGACTCTTTTCATGCAACCATTTTACCACTAATCTATGCCAAATTTAGAAGAAAAAATAATAATTGGTGATTTTTTTGACACACATGGCAATTTAAGAATACATGTACTGAGAACTGTAAGGGTTGCTGCCAAAGAACACCCCAACATGTGTTTAGCAATATCTCCTGAGTACAGTGATACCACCCACGTATAGGTGTGCAGGGTTCTCTGGGGGCTAAAAGACCTTATTTGGAGGGTGCGCATTCCAGTTTTCCAACTTGGGATTTTTACATTATCATGCACCCATGTCCTATTTGGGACATTTTTAAAGCAGGTCAATGTAATTTAGCACCATCAAACCATATAAAAGTAGACAACTCAGGGTATTCAATATGGGGTATGTCTAGTATTTTTAGTAGCCACTTAGTCACAATTAGTATTTATATTTGTTTGTGTATTAAAAATGTAAAAAACAATTATGAATGATAACTTTGGCCAGTGGCTACTAAAAAAGACTGAATATAGAGTTGGTATATATATATATATATATATATATATGTCCGCGGTCCTTTTTTTTTTCCGGACATACCTAGTAAGTCCGCAGTCGTTATGGGGTTAAAAAAGTAGAAATAAATAAGTAATAAATAAATAAATATCCTATGGGGCTAAAAAAGACAACCATATCCACATAATGAAGGTATTTTACCTCCTTATGCCTCCACCTGCCATGTTTTCTAAATATTTCTAACTTACCATGAGAAACGGCAGTGTTTACATTGCAATCTTTGCAGGACAGATGTTCAGGGTCTGCCCACTCTGCACACTCTGCATGGAGATGCTTTATGCTCCCCATAAAGATACATTAAGTGAATGCATCTCTATGAGGAGATACTGATTGGTGCAGGATGGTGATTGGCATGCATTCGCACTAGTTCCCCCATGCTTTGGGAGAGCCATCGATTGTTTGTGATTATCAGTAATTAAGACTGGTACACCAGGGAAATAAATGTAATTAATAAAGCTCTATTCTATTACTTCTGGGAGGACCTGTAATCTAAATAGAGTAGAAAACACTTAACAATGCCTGTGTATATTCCTAATGCTAGAGTGTTCCTTTAATTGACAGTAAATTAGAAAAAAAATGCGTGTTGTAAAAATCAGTTCAGAGGGCTGTATCAAGATGCAGAGAATGCACTTTTACAAGTTAATCCACCTGAACAAATTTTCCTGGGGGAACTTGTCGATTTCAGTTTTGTATAAATCTTAATACGGACTTGGGCTATTCCTGCAGCTGTCCTTAGATGTAGCATCTAAAATCACAAGTCTAATTATAAGATCTCGATGCATATTGCAGTAGACATTTGCTTCCAATAGTTTCCAGAAAAGCATTTTTGTTACATTTTCAGTTAGACTATAAAGATTAACACATATGAACAATTATAAGCAGTCTTAAAATCTCCATTGGTTTTGTCATCAAATTCCAGGGTTAATGTTCCAATAAAATGTATAAATGTACGAATGCTTTCTAACTAAATTCCAGAAAATAGCAATTACATTAATGGAACAAATATATAACATTGGCACTCCATCTCTTGATGGTAACTAAATATTGTAAATTATTTTGGTACTAAATATGCATTTTAAAAAATATCAAAACTCACCTCAAATATACTCCTGCACTTCATGTTATTTTCTTTTTTAGTGTTGCTTTGGGAGAAATATATCATCAAACAGCTTTTGCTTAAGGGCAACAAACAATGAAAAATATACTATGCACTGAAATATATCCAAGGGAAATACAGAGCAGCTGTAGGCTGCTATGCTGAGATTTCCAAGAAGTATTATTAATTCTGTAGTTAGGCACTCAAGTATAATAACTTTCATACAAAGCAGCCACAGATTGATCAATGCAACAAACAAATTAAAGAGGAAAAACTATCTATTAACTTTTAACAAATGTTTAGTAAATACTAGAATATTGTGTGGACTATTCCGAACATTAAAATGTTATCAGATTGTCACACAAATTCTGAGACAGAAAAGAGAAATGTAAACGGGATGGGAACCTGTAATGTACACTAATAATGGTTAATATAAAAATTGTCCTCTCTCATATCGAACTCATACAAAAATAAATAATCAATGAGTCAATGTTATAGGATCAATATCAAGAGAACAGTGCCAATTTCTAGAGAATAAACAAATAACACATGCATGTTAATATTACACAAAATTGTATACAATTTTAATTAAAGTTATTTAAAATTAGATTTGTAAATAATTCTGTGAGACACTCTGTATGAATATAATTATCATAATTTACATTAACAACTTCACAGTGAGAATCATGTACACATGAGCCAGAGACCAGGAGGGAGCATTCAGAAGGGTCTGCACCAAACTGGAGGTGCCAACCTGCTTCTAATACCACCAATTTATTTGATTAGGACATGGATGTAAAGCATTTACTTAAAAAATGTACAAATCGTGCAATAAACACATCCAGAGTGTACATACACAAACAGGTGCGGGTAATATGGATAATTCCAATAATGTAGTTCTAAAATGTCCAGAGCAAAAAACTCATATATCTAAAATGAGAAAAATCTTAAAAGAGCATGCATTATGTAACCTGTATATAAAATAATTTTCTATTATGTTATAAGAATTACATTCACTAGATAAAGAGCTGTATCAGGCTCTATACAGGTAGCCCATTGGTGGCTTTTCAGGTATTAGGATTCACAACGATCTTCAACGATACGAGACTTCAAATCCAGGAATAGCAAAATATATATATTGTGCAATATAAAATGTATATACATAGGGACACAACAACTAACAATATTCAGAGCAACAGACACCTAGATTAGAGGAAACACACAGGACACATAAGACCCACAAAATGGAGACTGTGAACTATAACATCCCTGACACACCAAACCCCTCCAACCGGATGCGCCCCCCCCCCATGTTTGTTCGTTCTCAACAAACAGACAGATAAGACAGATTAGCCATGCACTGCCTCCACTATCCACTCTCCCTTCCCCCCCTCCACCTCCCATCCCAGTTGGCTTTTACCTTCCTGCCCTCCAAACTCAACACCTTCAGCCTGAAGCACAGCGCCTGTAGGAACAACAGATACTCTTCCCAACACGGCACCGTCCACAAAACCTCAATGCGACCAGAAGGATTAAAACATCGTTGCCATCCTTTCGCCCCGGTCCAGCAGTTACACCCCCAGTTTACCAACTATACCCACTGCAGACATCACGCTAGCTCACTAGACTTCTACCCCCTGCAATTTCCACCCCCCCCATACCACACACCAACCCACAGGCAGACACGAAAGTTAAATATCACCCAACTGTACACCTATCAGGGATACACTCAGCTAGGTACAGCCTACACATGCCCAGGGACGACACCTGTAGGATACTGCATCCAACCAACCACACGGTTGCCATATGTCATATCACTCTTTTAGACATACTGTTTTCCTGTAGAATAATGTTGATAAACACAGACGACCATAGTATTACTGTTATAGTATTACTGTTAAAGTGTTGTTGTTATGATTATAAACATCGAGCCTGCTGATGCTGCTGTGGCAATACAGGCACTGTTGTATTGACTTCCAAATTGAATAAAGTATTCAAAACTCAAAAAAAAATGTATATACATAAAATAAGCCTTTTGGGGTTGAAAATGTTCTCTTTATATTGATCCTATACCATTGAATCATTGATTATTCATTTTTGTATGAATCGATATGAGAACGAACTATTTTTATATTAAAGGGACACTATTGTCACCAGAACAACTACAGCCTTTTGCATTTGTGCTGGGGAGTAGAATCATTCCCTTCAAGCTTTTTGCTGTAAACACTGTCTTTTCAGAGAAAATGCAGTGTTTACATTACAGCCTAGTGATAACTACCCTAGCCACTCCTCAGATGGCTGCTAGAGCTGCTTCCCATCTTAGTCTTGCCTAGTGTGCATCACAACATATCAGTATCTCCACTCTCTGCATGCAGACACTGAACTTTTCTCATAGAGATTAATTGGTTCAATTCATCTCTATGAGGAGATGCTGATTGGCCAGGGCTGTTTTTGACTTGTGCTGGCTCTGCCTCCTTGATAGTCTCAGCCAATCCAATGGGGAAGCATTGTGATTGGTTTAGAACAACACTTCTGATTATGTCAGCAGACAGCTTGCTATTCTAAGGTAGAAGGGGCAGAGCCAGCAACTTCAGGCTTGAATACAAATACGATTTTACTGTATTTAGGGAGGCAAGAGAGAGCCAGGGGGCTAAATGGTGGTTTTAACACAATAGGGTCAGAAATATGTGTTTGTGTTCCTGACCCTATAGTGTTCCTTTAACCATTATTAATGTACTTTACAGGTTCCCATCCCATTTCCATTTCCATTTTTTATGTCTCAAAATTTGTGTGACAATCTGTTAACATTTTAATGTTCGGAATGGTCCACACAATATTCCAGCATTTACTAAACATTTGTTAAAAGTTAATAGATAGTAAAGGCTCTACTGCCTTAAACTTAGAAAATTGAAATTTAGCAAAAGCTCTATACTTGTGGGTGCATTTCCTATTTCTAGCACTATAGTCACTTTATATTGGCAATACAACATTATTGTATGTTATTTCAGTTTTTATATTTACCACGGTTACTCTCAGGAGAGACTACATCTTCTTTCACATCCATTAGTGGGGATTGTACCACAAGTTGTCATTACCAGAGCTTGTATGATAGCTCTATAACATGTGAGTGGGCACTTACACACGTATATTAATTTTGATCCACTCATTGTGTTACACATTACACTATCAGTATCCCCTTTTTTCTCCCCTTTTATTTTATACAAGCCCTGTGAGGATGGATCCAAAAACATTAGAAGAATATTGAGCCTATATTCATTATATTATCTTGGACTGTTTTTGGTTTCTTATACTTTTTTTTATTTTTATTTCATACTTTGCTTAGACGCAATATGTTTTTGGTATTGTTATGCTCTTTTATTCCTGTTGATACATTAAGGGGTCTCTACATTCAGTGCTTACTGCCTTAAATACATTTAGCACTTATCCATATTCTGTAAGTCGTGTACTACATACAAATATGCCCCTGCAGTCAAAAACTAAAACTGCAAACAAATACACCACTGCATTTAAACATCAAGGACTGTATACAGACATAACTCTGCATTCAAACAACAAGACAGTCCACAAATACACCCCAGCCCACAAATACACCCCAGCATTCAACACAAACACTGCAAATAAATATGCCTATGCAGTCAAACACCAACACTACACCCAAATACACCCCGGTATTCAAATGAACACACAAGACACAATCACACCCATGTGTTAAAATGCCAACACTACACACAAATGCATCACCGCATTCAAATAGAAACAGAACATACAAATAAATAACTGAATTCATATGCCAACACTACATATTAATACACCCCTTCACTCACACATAAATACTCCATACAAAAACATTGAAACACAAAGGCACTGCTCAAAAATACAGCTGTGCAATAATGGACAAATAGTAGATCCCCAGCTGGCAAAGCACTAGAGGGGTCCCAAAAACATTTTTACATACGTTCCTGGGCTGCTTGGAAAAGTGGCACCAGGTAGCCTCAGCCCCTGTGCAGAGTTCAATGTAACCAGGTCAGATCTGGTTCTAATTACCAAACTCTACACCTACTTTACACCCAATCTGGTACCTGACTAGTGAATAAGTTTTGTGCCCTGCATTTTGTTTTTGTTTTTCTAGGTGCCCTTACTTAAAAAAAAGGGTCTAGACTACATGACATTCTGACACATTATTTTTCAGCAGAATAGAAAAATCAATAAGGTGGGTATGCTTAATAGTATAAGGAAAATGTACATAATTTGTATACCCATGGGTTTATATCTAATGCTCATAATTGCATATGGATGTAAATATACTCCAGTAGACAGATATCTGCATCAATCCCAATAGGTAAACTTGAATCACCGCAGGAGGCCAAAAAAGATGTAGAATTTTTTTTTCTCATATTTCTTGAAAATAATTAATATATAAAACCACAATATAAAAACAAATAAGATAAGTGTACATAAGGTGGCAGAGGACCATGGGAGATAAATCAGTGTCTAAATAATGTCCAGGTTGGACCAAATAAATGTTGTAAAATCCTCATTATGTTTTCAATTCTATTTCAGCCTTAAAAACTGCCCTTAGGTATATTTCTCATCCATGGACTGTAATGGCAACTTGAGAAATGGATATAAAAATTTACATCAATTGATTTGAAAAAGGTCATAGTTGCCACTGCACCATCCTCTACAAAAATCTCCAGATCCCAAAAACTGATCCTGTTCTTACTACATTCTCATGTGAGGTGAATACCCCTCTCATTGTTATTGTGGGTAAGGAACCTAATTACTGTTACTGGCCTTTCCATACCAAGAACAGGCCAAGTATGTACCTATGGTATGACACGAGGTTTGCTCACCAGTCATGTGTGTCATAAAGTGGAATAAAATTGTTAAATCTTTATTCTTGGCTTTCCATCAAATCTGTTAAGGAAGTGAATCCTGGTTACACTGTGATACAGTAGAAAGCGCAAATAACCTGAGCAGTCTCTTTACCTACTCAACGTTTGTAAGTGCTATAATATACCTATTTTTACCTATATAATTGTGTTTGCAATATTACACTATCTGCTTTTTATGTATTTTTTAAACATAGAAAATCGACTCTCTGTAAACGAAGTTTATGAAATACAAAATTTGATTAGAACATTGGTTACACGTATCAAATTCATTCACACAGAATACATAATGCACTTTTGATATTTATGCACTTTAACGGGGAGTGTTGCAATAATATCTACACATATGTTCTAAAGTGTATTTACACAAAACATTGCACAAATATTGATTTTTGCACAAGGAATTACTTTTTTTATATCTTGAGCACAAGCACATTGTTGCATTGAAATATTTTAATTGATAGGGTTGATTGCAATACACAGGAGTTTTTGTGAGCACAATCTTAAACGCACAGCGCACTTTACATTTGTTTCCTTTTTTTATTAGGCGTTGAGGAGCTAATAGACTAGTAAGGTGCAGCTAACACAAATTTTTGTAGTAAAGTATAAAATTGACTTATTTTGTGCCATTCGCAGCTTGTTTTATTGATTTTTTAAGCTAGAAGACATTTATAAATTTATGGTACAAAAAGAGGAAATAAGGGCTGCGCTTTGACAAAAATGAGTAAAAAAGTAGTATATGAATAAAATAAGCGATAAAGATAAAAACAAGTAAAGTTCATCCGAATAAATAGAAATATAAGTTAAAACAGTCTCACTGATGTGCAGTAATATAGTAATAATCCGCAAGTGTCGCTCCGTCCGTATGGTAGGTAGTCCATATATGTGAAAACAAAAAATAAGAAAAAAAGCTTCCAATGGTGAAATATTGTATGTTCAAATGTGGTATATATTCAAAGGAAAGGTATTTCACTCACATTTGTTGGAGCTCTAACCAGCTCTAGGAGAAGAGGCACTTAGTGGTTTGATCCCCACTATCGGATATACTTAAGTGGTTTGTCCGTCCATCCGGCTTGAGATTTCTTTGATGTAGGCTAGGACCTACTCAGATGTGCGTTATTCATTTATGCTGGGGAGATAGGTCCGCCTCTCCGGTTTTGGATAGTAGATGTCCACGAGATATATATAAAACAGCAGATAGTGCTCTCAGTATGAACAACACAATAATATATTAAAATAAGTTATACTTACAAAAATAGAGCAGACAGGTACTGCTCTATTGCCACAGCGCTGGTGGAATTATCCCCACCTCAGGATTTCTTTGGACAGGATACACTTCAACAGTAAAAAGTGGGATAATAAAAGTATAATAAACAATAAAATAAAATAATAAGTGGTAATATAATATAAGAATATAAAAATGCCAGGAGTAAAAAAATATAAATAAAAAGTGTATAGAGTACAATAAAAATAAGTATAGAGTTGGTCCTAAAGAGGATCCCCAAATGTCAAAGGTAGCCGGAAAGGAGAACGAATTCAACTTCCAACACACATTAACCAGAGGTGTGCCCATGCAGAGAAGTATATAGCTCAAATGTCATGATTTATACCGTATCGAAAGAAAATAAAAATAAAAAATTTTTAATATAGAAATACATAGAGACAATAAAAGACAGTAAAAAACACAAGGACAGACAGTGTTACCCTCTAGCGGTAGGTCGTAGATGGAGTCTAGATAGTATAGTGTAAATATATACGGGAAAACTTAGGGCAAATGCCTGGTGTCAAATGGTTATCAAGATCCAGACGATATACACGTTATCTAGATGATGGAGGAGGAAGTCACTCCTCTAGGTATTGGAGGTAATAGGAACAGTAAAATATGTCTACCTATAGGATAAGTGCATCTGATA